AAAATGTCCACTATATGGAGTTATCTACTATTGAAAAAACCTCTAAATAGTGGACATTTGCAAGAAATTACTAAATGTCCACTATAGGGAAACGCTAAATAGAATTAGTTATACATATACATATACATATACATACATTGAAACTAATATATATTAAAATCTTTATTTATTATTTATGTAGTAAAAAGTGGATAATATAAAAATGTAAAATTTTTATAATTAATAATTATTTATGTACGATTAAAAAAAATCTGTAATCTTTTTTTGTGTAAAGTTTTTCTGCTCTTCACAATGAATTTGCAAATTGGCAATCATTGATAGTGCGGTTTCATTTTCTTTATTTTTAAAGTATATTTTTAAATTATTTATTGTTTTCCAAACTTCTTCAAATGTTGGATTATATATAGACTCTTCTTCTTCTTCTTCTTTTTCTTCTGGATATTCGGTTACTTTTTCACTCAGACCGTCTAGATTATAATTGATTATATATAGTCTTCAATTTTAACAGTATTTGGTACAAGTTCTGAGAATATGTTCAAATTTGTATAATTTTCATGATCCATTACGTATTCCACTGTATCGGACGAAAAAAATCCCGATTTTTTAAAACAGTTTTTGACTGTCTCTGGTTTAATCTGGTCAGATGAAAGGTGAGAAAAATACGTCGTAGGCGTATTCCTGGATATATCGGGGGCATTTGACTGCCTCTGGTGGGCGCAACTAATAAAAGATCTTGAAAAGGTTAAATGCGGCTCTGGGTTGATCGCCCTGACAAAAAGCTACCTGGACGGCCGAAAAGCCCACTTGGAAATTGGAGACATGACACTCTCGACGACCCTAACAAAGGGTTACCCGCAGGGCTCGAAGTTCGGTCCCGACCTCTGGAGGTGCGCGGTCAACCCGCTCTTGTCCGGCGATCTTCCCCCCGGGCCAGAGATTGTCGCGTACGCGGACGATCTCGCGCTACTCAATCTCCGGGAAACACCGTCCGGAGCTCACGGAAAGCGCGAACGCGCTGCTAGAAATAGCGTCGAGATGGGCCTCTGACAGGAAACTCACCTCTTCGGCAGCCAAGTCGCAGACCTTATGGATCAAGGGCCAACTGAGTAAGCCCCTTGACTTGCGACTTGATGGGACTAAGGTAAAAATGACCCCGGAGGCGAAATATCTCGGGGCCACATTTGACCCGCAAAGGAAATTTAGCTCCCATCTGGCGGAAAAGGCTGCGTACTTGGTAGCGCTATTCAGTCGACTAATTTCTGTGACTAAGGCTAGCTGGGGCGTTAAAAGGGGACAACAAGGATCCTGTACAAATCGGTGTTCCTGCCGCGTATGGGATATGCGGCCTCGGTATGGGCCGAGCGCTGCATGGCACAGTACCGGCATCGAACACGGGCAAACACCGCCCAAAGACGCCCGTTACTGGCAATGACAGGCGCGTATAAGACCACGTTGACGATGGCGCTCCAGGTCATAGCCGGAGTACCTCCCCTCGACATAGAACTAGTGCGGCTGGCTAAGATCAAACGGGATAAGAGCGCCGTGAGGAGAGGAAACAAGTCGGCGTCAGACGTTGCTGGAAAGACAAAACAATATTACGACACTACCATACGCCTCTGGCAGGAGAGATGGGTCGCCAGTGACAAAGGTAGGCAGACGGCGATTTAGTTCCCAGACGTCCGGCGCAGACTCGAGAGGCTGTGGTTCGTTCCGGACCACTACATCTCGCAGCTCGTGTCCGGACACGGGAATTTCAATTCGTCGCTCTGTCGTTTCAACCTCCGAGGCGAGGCACGTTGCCGATGCGGTCTTCCAGAGGAAACCGCGGAGTATGTGCTATTCGATTGCCCAGCATATAGCCAGGAAAGAAACAAGCTCGCAGCCGCAGCGCAAGCGGAAGGTGTGGACTGGCCGTGCGACTGCGATACCATGACCTCCACGGAGGCCATGTTCCTTGCGTTCAAAAACTTCTCCCGGGAAGTCCTAGAACGTAAAGATGTAGGACGACCCCGCGGGCACGACCCGGACCCCTAATTTTTAAACCATAGCGGATGGACGTGTGGCTAGAGGGCGTACGTGCAGGGCATGGTGCACTGCCAGAGACATGGGGACAGTCTCCCCTATCCACGCGGGCACAAATCGTCCGAGTGGGCCTAGCCGGAACGACCGTTACTGTCACCGATGGTGGCGGGGCGAAAGCCTGCGAAGTACCGGATAGTGGCAGGCGAAGCGGGAGCCGATAGCCGGACCAAAAGGGTGCTAAGACAGCGCCTCCACGGTATCGTTTAACGCCCTCCGTACTAAGACCCGCCTAGCCGGGAGCGAGGGACGGGATACCCTGCGGGACGGACTGAATGCCCGACCTCCTCGGAGACGGGACGGACGGAACATCTCGCGGGGCGAATTGGGTACCCTCACTCCCTATGAACAAATTCTTGCCTAGACCGAGAGTTCGAACTAGAGGGGCCAGACCACCTGTCGGGCGAAGACGTGCACGTATTCAGCCGGCTCGGGGCTAGATACGAGAGAGGCACCGGCAGAAACGGCAATCTGTCGATAAAGAGCAAAACCGTACGCGCTATAAAGGGGTCGTCGCGGTACACACAGCGGTGCCCCGATCGACCTGCTTGCGAACAAGGCAGTTGCGAAGGCCTGAACGCCGGGTTCGAACCTCGTACCACAGGACTCGGAGTAAGCCCCGTCGAGTCGGCTTGCTAATAGCGCCTCGACGCTCCGGAGGTGTTGGACCCGAGGCGCACGACCGCTTGGACTCACCGAGGACTCGCGCTCGCCCGCACCGGGAAAGACACACTTGAGGAAGAACTCATGATGGTTGTGGGAGTACCGCCTTAGTAGAAAGGGGCTTGACTCATGCGATAATCCGTCGGGCTCTGGCCGCGGCGGTCACTCATTATGGCGCCCGAGGTGAGGCGGCGCCCCGGGTGGGACCCCCGGAGCAATCCGGGACTACTGTCCGGAAGAGACAACCTCGCGGTTATACAAAGGGGCTGAGTGTCTCCGGGGCAACCCAGAAGAACTGGTTGACCCCGCAACACACGGAATGATGTTTCTGGTTTAACATTCTTTAACGTGGATTTTATTCAAAAAATCGTTTCTAAAATGTTAATACGAGTAGAATTTTTTTTCTATGCTTTGTTCCGTACGATATGACGAAGTAATCTTTGGCGATAGTGAACTTTAAAATTTTTAATTATTCCTTGATATAATTGTTGTAAAATTAAACTTGTATTTAGAGGTAGAAATATTAGTTTTATATTTTTTAAATTTAATATATTAGGATGTGAGCTATCGTTATCTAAAAATAAAATAATTTTTCTATTTTCCATTTCCATTTTTCTGTTAAAACACATTAACCAGTCTGCAATTAAATCTCGATTCATCCACGATTTACGGTTAGCTTTCCAATTAATACCTAACGTTGATATATTTACACTTTTAAAACAACGTGGTTTTAATGATTTTTCAATTATTAATGGAGTTTCAAATTCACCGATCATATTTTACACATAATAAAACAGTTAAACGATCTTTAACTATTTTACCTCTACGACAAATTTCATTTTTTAAACACAATGTTTTATTAGGAAGTGCTCGAAAAAATGAACCTGTTTCATCACAATTAAATATATTTTTCGGTTCATAATCTGAAATTAATGTTTTCAATTTTTTGAACCATTTTTCTACATCACTTGAATTAACAGAGTTACCCTCACCACATATAATTTTAAAAGACATTTTATGATGTTCTCGGAATTTTTGAAGCCATCAATTTGAAGCTTTAAAGTTTTCTAGACCTACCTCATTTGCAACTTCTCATGATTTTTCTTGAAGCAATGGTCCAGAAACAGGTAAATTATATGAACGGGCTCTACAAAACCATTCAAATGTAACTTTATATATAAATGCTCCATCCGATGTCTTCGAAAATTTTCTCTTTATTTTTTCATTGGCATTCTCAATGTAATATTTTTTTTCAAATTACATGCATCTTATAAAATGTTATTCACTTGTATTTTTCGTTAAATGAGATGTTTTTAGATAAATTAATACAAAATATTAAAATTAAATACTTAAATTTACCTGTGATTTGCTTGTGCAATACCGTTCGGCTAATACTCTTACTCTTAAATTTTCCGTTTCCTTAGTTCTAATAATATTTATTTTTTTTCTAAGTTCAATCTTTTTCTTTTATTATTGTTCATTTTAACGTAGGTATACGTGTTCACACAATTCGCAGAATAAAACTGACGATCGAACACAATATAACCGAATTAATTGTCATTTTTCAAGTAGGAAAACCATTTTTTTTTTTTATTTAATTATAGTAAGACATTCCTAGCCTATAAGGCTATCTACATCTATGGATAATAACATTAATTTTTTTTTTTTTTTTTTGACTAATTTTAACATGATAATATAAGTAAGTTATTTAATAGCATTATCGAATAAGATCGTGCGGGCGACCGCGTTTTAGACGTCTTTGAGGTGGTGGGCATATGTGTAAATTAAAATGTATTGAGCCGGTTGATTTGTGGAGTGAGCTATGGAAGTTTTCAGCAAGAGCTTTTATATGATCTTGAATTTTGATGATTCGGAGGTCTTTATGTAGATTTTCGTTGCGTATGAACCATGGTGCATTAGTTATTATTCTTAATACTTTATTTTGAAAAATTTGTATTTTTATTAAGTGTGTCGCTGAGCAGTTACCCCATATAGGACAAGCATAGGTAATTAATGAGCGTAATAATTGCTTGTAAATTAATATTGAGCATTTTTTTTGTATAACTGATTTTTTGTTTAGGATAGGGAATAGCATTGAGAGGCGCTTGTATGCTTGTTGTAGTTTAGAAGCTATGTGAGGCCCCCAGATTAACCTCTTATCTAGTGTGACACCAAGGTACTTGACAGAAGACTGCCAAGGTATGGAATCGTTGCCAAAGCTTAGAGGTGTTGGAGTGGAATAGCGACGTAAGCTAAAAATGACTGCTGAGCTTTTTGAAGCGTTTATGTGTATTTTCCAGCTGTTGCATCATGTTGCTAATAGATTTAGGTGATCTTGTAAGTTGTTTGTTATCGCTTCAACGTTGTGAGATTCACTGTAGATTGTTGTGTCGTCTGCAAATAGTGCGATGTTTGTGCGTGGTGACTGTGGTATATTAGAAATGAATATATTGAACAATGTAGATCCCAGTTTGGACCCTTGAGGAACACCAGCAGATGTGGTCCGGGGAATAGAGAAATTATCGTTAATTTTAACTGAGAATTGCCTATTTGTTAGAAAGGAATTGATAATATTAAATAAGTACTTCGGTGTATTGAAAGATTTTAGTTTGTATAAAAAACCTTTGTGCCATACTTAATCGAACGCTTTTGAGACGTCTATAAATACGGCACCAGTATGGCAATGTTTTTCAAATGAATTGCTGATATGTTCAGTTATGCGAAAAAGCTGTTGTACTGTCGAGTGGTTGGATCTAAACCCAAATTGAAATTTTGGGATAACATCTGCGCTGTCCAAATAATTTTGTAGTCTCGTATGAATAACTTTTTCAAAAATTTTTGATAGGGAGGTAAGTAAACTTATCGGTCTGTAGCTATCAGGATTTGATTTATCCTTGCCAGGTTTTTTTATTAGTATAACAGTTGCTAATTTCCAGCTCAGTGGAAAGTGTCCAACACGTAACAAAAAATTAAATATTTTTGTATTGTCGTTGACTTGGAGAGTTAGAAGTGGAGCAAATCTATTTTGGCTTGTATAAGGTGGAGTGAAAGCAGCACTACTAGTTCTAGTATTTTTTTATTTTTTTTTTTTTTTTTGAAGTATCTGGAAGATTGCGATCTTGGGGAGAACTACCATTATTATTAGGATTCATTGAATAAGATTAATTATAAGAAATACAAACCTTGGGATTGAACAGAGCGCTGAGAACAACCTGTCGCGGCGGCTACTGATAACCAACTGAGGAAAACCATTAAGATAAGATAAAATAAAAACGAAATATATAAAAGATAAATATAGTATTTTTATTACTTAAACATTCTCTATATATACAATATGTATTGTGTCCATTTATGAGAGGAAATTTTTAATTTTGGTACTAGTTTTTAGTGTTCACGTCCACTGTACACTATTAAGATTTTATAACTCCTAATATGTGCATACATTTTTGCTGGGGAATTTAAAAGTGTCCACTATTGAAAGGTGTTCATTAATAGAATTTTCACTGTACTAAATTGCTAATTAGCATAACATTTGGAAGACAACCGCCATATCCACAATATAATATTACTGATATCAGAAATTTCTTAGATTCTATCTTACCAATTGTTCAACCAGAAAAATATTTCATACTTGACGAAGTAAAAAATATGATTGCTAGATATTCTTGTAAAAAATTCACATGGTTTGATCTGATAACGGCTAATGTTGCTAACTACCTACCAAACAAAGTCTTTATACTTCTTATATATCTACAATATACTTTTAAGACTTTGATACTTTCCTTTTCTTTGAAAGTTTTCATATATAATAATGTTTGCTAAGCCAGATAAACCTCTTGACCCCCCCAACATCATATACACTTATAAATCTATTGCCATACTTCTCTGAAAGTTGTGAAAAACTCATCCCCAAACGTATCTATCTATCTATATATAATATCAAACAATGTACTCCCATTTTCATAATTTAGTTCAAAAGCCAAATACAGCACAGTACGTTAAATCCATAGAGTAGTTTATGTAGTCTCTACCTCACTTAAAAACAAATCGTACTATATACTATACTTATTCCTTTTTCAACATCTCCCAGACTATTGACAGAAATTAGTATGAAGGTCTACTGTTCAAACTCCGTAAATTTTTTCTTCCATACAATATTCCTACTAATATTATCATATTTTATGGACAGATATTTTCAAATACTTCAAGATTCCCGCACTTCAAAAATTGCCATAATTAATGCTGGAGTTCCCTAAAGAGATATTCTTTCTCCTACATTGTTTAATATTTATTCTTTTAATCAACCCTCTTCACAAAATACTCATGTTATCAATTAAACCAACGACAAAGTCATATTATCAGTACACAATGATCCAGTAATTACATCGAGAAATTTACAATCCCATTTAAACCTACTTCTGGAATGGTACGCAAAATGGTGAATTAAATTAAACCACGTTATATCCGTTCATATGACGTACAACTAAAAGAAACGAAATTTGTCCTACCATAACTATAAATAATCTACCCATTCCTTCTCATGATACTATTAAGTACTTAGGTGTAAATCTCGATAAAAGACTAACATGGTAAAATTTTATGAGAAAAATAAATTAACTCTCAATGACCGTTCCCGATCTTTAAAAATATTACTTACAAAAAGTAAGTTCTCAGTCTTAAATACTAAATTACAAATAAATGAATCTCTTCTGATACCCAAATGAACGTATGGAATCCAACTTTAGGGATCGGTGAAAAAATCAAATTTAAATAAGATTCAGGCATTCCAAAATATCTCACTTCGGAAAATCACTAATTCTCCATTATTTATCTCAAACCTGACCCTTCACAAAGATCTAGATATAAAAATAATAGTAGAAGCTAGCCATTTTCTATCAAGTTTTTACATTAGATTAAAAATTCACGGAAATCCCATGATTAAAGACTTACACGTCCCAAAAATCCCCTTTAAAGACTTAAAATAAAATGGCGCAGAGATCCCAGTGGTTCTCAACCTTTTTTGTATGACGACCCCCTAATTTAGATCTATGAAAATGACGGCACACTAACCCAGGCAGCCCATAGATACAATACAAAAAAAAAACCTTTTTTTTTGTCAATTGATAGTTTAAAAAATGTTGTGTAATTTTATATTTAAGTACTTCACGTGACACATCTTGACTTGCTCGGCGACACACCGGTCGAGAACCACGGATGAAATCTAATCATGTAATAACGCAATATTCAAGTTAAGTGCTACAATTAGGTGGCTCCTTATTCACGTAACCCCATAAATATTTTATTGTCCCCATCTCTCATATGAATCGTTATTTTTTCCTAATTTTTCAAGAATGACGAAAAACTAAATAACTAAAATGTTAATGTAAAAACTTCGAAATTGTTGACCCTATATTTAATTAAATCACTTAAAAATTTCATTTAATTTGTAAAAAAAAAGTTTTTTAGTTTTTTTTTAAAAATTTATTAATCAAAGTTATTGACATATCTCCTTTATGCAGAAAACATTGTTTTCGTATCTTATTTATTAATATAGGGAGAGAAATATTATTAATATTATTTTTATTCATCAATTTATTTTTTACGTTTTACAATTTTTTTTTTTTTTTTTTTGAACTACAACTTACAATTTAAATACATTGATAATATTTTGATACATTTTTGTCATTATAATTTTAGTCAAGTAAATAATAGTAATCACATTTTGAAGGCCATTCATTTATTGGTTTCCAGAATCCAATATGCTAATCCTGGATAAATTTCAATGTGTTTTTGATATCTTCCAACTGTTTTCGTTGATTGGCAATTTTCCATTGTATGCTTTGTTGATAAAGAAATTATGATTTATTAGCTCTCGGTAAATTTTTTCCGTATGAAGCATAACTTAAACATGTTTTTCTGATATATGTTGGCCACCGTTTTTTGTAGTCAATTTATAAGGTTTTGATCAACTTTTACAACAGAAAGTTTGTCAGGAAATTTCGAAGCTTCATAAATCAAATTGATGTATTGGTCTATTGTGTATAATCAATCTTTCGTATTTTACTAGCGATGTTTTAATCAAAACAAAATCGCGGTCACAAGGCATGAAAGAATGACCTTTTATAGGATAAAAATTTGGATTTCTTCAAATCTTTTATTTTCCACCAAACTTATTAAAAACCTAATAATTGCGTGATTTTTATTCTGACCTGCACAGTTATCACAAATCATACAGAGACGTTCAACTTCTTTATCAATATCATCATTGATGTAATGATTTATAAATGATATGACTTCGTTAGGTCACCAGCTTCCCCCTCATGATAAACGTAGCATTTCATACTTCCTGTGGATAAATTATGAACACCGCAATTACAAACTGTGAGTTGTCTATAATAATAAAGATCTTAGACAAGTATTTGAGGTAATGAAAGATTTTCCACATAATTGATACAAATGCCCACACTTTTTTATCGTCCTGGCTAATTGAACTTAAAGCTGTAAAAAATTCGACGCTTGTGAACTAACAATTCAGCAACCACTTTTTTGCATTTTCGTTAAGACTTTGAGATTTTAATTAGCATTTAGCTCTTCACAAGTAAAACAAGTAAATTTTTGTGGACGTCCGAATCTCAGATTGAAATTTTCTTTAAAATATGACCAGAAAAATTTATAAGAAACTTTATGGTAAGGATATTTTTCTTTAAATATTTCATACATTTTTTCGACAGATAATTTTACATCCAAATACTTGACTTCCTTTCCAGTATAGTGAGATAATTTTACTTGAAAAAATTCTAAATGACTATGAATATCAGTCATAATTTCACCACTTAATGCATTGACACTAACATTTTTTCCTCGCATATCCCATGGCCTTTGATTATTTTTAGATAAAAAAATTAGACGTTCACTACGTTTTTTTTGTTATACCGAAAACACTAAAAAAAAAATACTTTTACATACCATTTGTTTTTTTGCTTGAAATATCACGAAATATTTTATGGAAACCGATTTAGGCTTGGCTTGTTCAACACACATTTCTAATTTGCTTCGTTTTCTCTGTACAGGGTGTAGTTCCATTAAACGTTGTATGTTAATATCTTAATCGTCCTTACTCTTTATTTGGTCGAACATTTCAACCATATTTTTTTTTCATTATCAGTGAATGCAGATAAACATTGTTTTTTACACCTATGGACTATTAATTTAATCTTAATACAATTATATTATTTAGTAGGTAATGAAAATAAGTTTACATACATAAATATATATATATTAGTGCCAGCAAGGAATCGATTTTCACTGGGCGATGATTGATAGCTAGATACTTAATTACCATTTTGGAATATATTTATTAATTTTCCATACACAAATGCACTGGGTTAGCGGGAAATACATCCAATCTGCTGCAGGTGGATTGCCCAGTTAGGTATCGACATGTACCACACCGGGTGATGACTGATAGCTAGACATCTTTCCATGTATTGCGGGGTCGACCAGTTCTTCCAATATGTGTTTTTAAATGCAATTTATTTGTGATGAAAAAAAACAAAAGACTGTTTTATTTAGTTCTTATTATTATAATTATAATTATTTTGTTTTATTTCGATTAATATTGATCATTTTTATGCTAAAATTAATAAATAATGCTAATAATAAACTCATATTAAGAACTTCTTGATCAATGTTAAAAGACCATGTTACATTTAACTTTTATTTTTACTCCATTCAAATTCTAGTTGCGCTCTAAATACACCATCAACATTTTAACAATTGCTATTTGATTTATACTTAATTGCATTTTTTATGAGAATTTGTTTTGAAGCTATCTTAAATTAAAAAAAATTAGAATTATTGATTACACCAAATCATTGCATAAATAAAATTAAGATTTCAATTAAATCTTGTAAAAATTGATAAGTTAATATATAAATCAAATTTTGATTTTCTTCAAATAATAATTTTGCTATAAAGAATTTCGATTTAACAGCTAACGCAAAACCAATTAAAATTGTTTTTACAGAAGTTTGTTTAAATATGACTAATAGTATCATACTGATTTAAAATATTTTAGGTCGGAAAGAAAGATGGGTGATTTAAAACCTTTTGTAAATGGATTTCTTGAATTTAAAAAATCAAGCAGAGATCAATGTTTCGTAAAAATGTTATAGTTTCATCAACATTGTGAAATCTCTTCATATAAATATTTTTCATAAATAACAAAGCATCTGCTATTGACGAACTCAATGTTTGAGCAGCTAATTTGACTTTAATCTTATTTTTGTGATTCGCTGAAAAAGATTTTAGTAGGAAATTATTTAGGGTGAACAGAAAGTTAATTTATAACTCCCTCCGGGATTTTTATAAAAGTTCGATTTTATAAAATTATCACTACATAAACGATTTCTAGAATTTAGCACAAATCTTTTGCTACCAATAAGTTTTAACCAAAGTTGTAATTTTTTGGCATTATTTAGAGAAAATCTAAATAAAATAATAAGAATAACCTAAATAACTTTTGTTTTGTTTAAATTGACGATGCCGTGGGAACCTGCTTTCACATTACAACACACTCACCTAAAAAAATGTATATTTGATCCTGATTTTGTTTGATTTGTACAGTGATAAGCTGAACAGTAGTCAGCATTTTTACTAAGTAGTTAACTACATATAATACATTTAAGTATTTGGATTTAGATACAAATATATTTTTAAATATGTCTTTATACAATAACAATATGATAATAAATTTAAATAATAATGTGAAACAAACCAAAACATTGACTACCACTTATATGGTTTTCGGTTTATTAATCATAGTTCGTCTAATATAACCAGTTAGCTATTTAGTTAATATGCATATCTGTGGACTTTACAGCTAAGTAAAACACTAGTTTTTTGGAAACAGAGATCTTTAATCAAGCAGTTTATGCGCACCAGTTTTCTCAGGACACCTCAACTATGAGTTAAATCAGTGTGATATTTATTTGGATGCATTTATTCTGTGTTCGTCATTTGTGTTACCATACTAAAATATTTTATTAATACATAATTTTTTTAATTTATTGAATTTCCTAATAATTTATTAATAACTCATATAAGATACTTTATGTATTCATTTCAAAACATGATTTATTAGTATTTTTAAACATTTATATATATTTAATACAAATTTAATGTTATTTACATGATATTTATGTTCCCAGGTTTGAAATATTTCGAATCAATAAAAAAACAATTATATTCAAAAACAAATGGTGAAAACCATATAAAACAAGCAAAAGTGTGGTCTATACTATTACAAACATTGAAAATAGATATAATTGATTGTATAACTATTGCTAATAAGAAAAAAAAAGAAGAAGCAATAAAAAAATTACAAAAAGAAGAGCAACAATTCAATGAATCTAATTATGGATCATTTCCTAGTTCAGCAGTGTTATTGTTTCGAAGATATTTCTTAGACAATGTAAGTACATTCAATTTATAAAATATCAATTAAATTTTAACAAACGGCACAAATTACCGTTATCATAATTTGTTTTTTATGTTTGCATGATATATTTTATATTTAGTTGATTGCATTCCACTAACCGAAAATTTATGATTTTGACTAAAAAAAAAATACTTTAGGTACAGTTAATAGACCTAACCTTACGAAAAAAAAGTTTATCTAGTTAAACAAAAAGTTTGCTAGAAACATTAAATTTTATTTAAAATTGTAATACTTATATTGCCCCTCCCCCTCAGAATAAATAAAACAATTAATATTTACTAAGATGTTAGAATTTTTAACCTACTTGTAAATTAAATTCATATGTAACTCTTGTGATGAAAAAATAGCTGACAATAATTTATTTTTATTCCTTTTTTTTTTTTATTTAAAAATAATTTATAAATAATGAATAATACATTTGTAACTAATAATGAAATGTGTAGTTTTCGGATTCAGCTATTTAAATAAATGTTGATTTTGTGTACATAATAATATTCTTAAAATATAATTGTACATTTTCAGAACTATAGTCGAACCTACATAATGTAACGTAGGTGTTACTTTCCACTTTATTCAGTCGTTGATTCAAAATAATTGTAAAATCAATGATATTTATAAAAACCTATGTTTATTATTTTAAATTTAGAGGAGGATGTGATGTCGTATGGCGTGAAGAGGCTTTGGACTCAACGGTTTTAATGCGTGCGATTATGCTATGCTGAGGGCTTTCTTATACGTGACGTCCTATACTCAAGGTTTCATGATTTGGTCATGATAGCGTTATTGCGTTCTCAAAAAGTGGGAGTGAGGTTTTAAGTGCAATTAATATGGACGTGTATGATTATAATGCCAATATACATCATATACGCTGGATACATAATGATCCCTACTAAGAACTTGCACATTTATATTGGCGAGTTCGAGGAATATTATGAAAGAACATCACACAAACCCTAATTAGATGCCTCTTCTGTTTGATAGCAATTCGACAGCTCAAAACAATAACATAAAATAAGTAACTGAGTACCCGTTGTTTGATTGGAATTTGATCTAAGTCTTATATAACTTAAATTTGAATATTTTTCAATTTTTTTTTTTTTTATCTCTAACATTCAACTTAGAGAAAAACTCAATTTTATGATTTTGAAATAAAGTAGTTAAACTACACAAACAATATTATAATTAATCAAATGTCATGGAAAATAGTTCGTTTAGACAAAATAATTTAAGCTCGGTCCATTACGATTGAATTGATAACAGATATATTTCTTTTAAAAATCAAAGGTTATTGATTAATTTAATCTAAAGTTAAATGTTGGTGTCACGTAAATACATCGTGATAAATTGGTCGTAGTAAGTTGGGCGTGGGTGTAATATAGTCGCGTGTAATTTCGGCGGGTGACGATACATACTTATATATAATATTATAGATATATTATTTAATAAAAACAAACCAAATAATTAAATGTAATAATTAATAATACCTAATTTAAATGAAATTGTGCCACAGATAGTCAACATAAAAATGTAAAAATGTAAAAAAACCAAGTTCTAAATTATAATTGCAACAAGAAATTAATAGCTATCCCACAAAATAATTTGGAATATTAGTAGTATTTGGGTCAAATGTTGAGGTTACCAATTATTGAATACGAATTGCAGAATATTTTTGTTTTTTATTTTAAGGTAATATTATTCTAAAAAGTTAATGTTCGACTTTAAAAATTCTTATACTATTTTCTTTTTTTAATGCAGCAATAAAAATCCAAATAGATGGATGAACTGAATTTAACAACGAATTGAAACAATTGTGCCAGGCTTCTACTGCATTATTTGTGTGTGGAATATCTCTTTCAACTAAAATATAACAATTCCATATTGAAATAGGAAATATTAAAGGTGTCTTTCGTCCTCTTCTGTTAACGCGACCAATATAAGTATTTTCAAAGTAATTTATAAAATCTGACAGTAGTTCTTCATTATTTTTAAATTCTGATTGAAGAAGGTTTTTGGAACTGTATTCAACAAGATTTTCAAGGTAAATATGCTAATACCGATAATTTTTTGAATAATTAGGGAAAATTCTGAATCAATAGAATATATGACTTATCCAATATTTTGAATTTGCCGCTAAATTGACTGTCCGAAATGAAAAAAAAACAACCTTGAATTTTCGTATTTGGGTATACAAATAGGGCTGCAATCAAAATAGCTTTTTCAAAATCATTATACCTTTAATTTAGATATTGTAGGTGTCGGATTTGGAAATTTAAAACGTCGCGTTGTAATTAAATAGACGGCACTTTATTTAATTTATAATATTAATTAAATATCATACATAAACAGATGAGCACGTTTCGCGGTCGTTGTATCAAAGCTGACTAAGGTACCGTCCGCCGGCCGGACCGGTCCGTGGGTCGCGTTTTCGCGGACGGAGATAAGCAGCCGCGGTCGTTGCGATAACAACCGCGACGGCACGACAATACCGTAATATAGACGACGATAATATAAAAAGATGTGATCTAATATAAAACAACTATGTGACGCGTGATGATACTACACCGCGTCAAAATTATTACGCTCAACTTACTGCGACCAAATTATATGAAACCTTAAAAAATGTTGATTGGAGGTAACTTTACAATATTTATAACATTTCATGGTAATTAATTTGTAAATGTTCTACTTTGACTTAAATAATTTATCTTTTTATATTATTCTTAGAGCATTAGTGGTAATATAAAGGATACATTTGAAAAATGGTTAAAGAATAAAAATTTATGGAAGTCCTTAGACGACGATATTTTGTATAGAAAACACATTGCCATGTACAAGTTCTTAGTGTTTTTCTCTATAAGTAATGAATATAATGATAAATTAAACAATATATTTAAAGCAATTCAAAGACCAGTCTTATCCACTGAAGTAAGTATAATATTATTACAACATAACCCTTTGTAAAAACAGTTTAAAAAATATGAACATTTTAAAACTGGTGACGCAACATAATGGTCGTTAAAAAATTATGATAAAACGCAAAAACTATATATTATTGCGATATACACGTCAATATTGGTGATTAAATAGGTATAAACTATCAAGTGTGAGAACGTTAAGTAAAATAATAATGTCATACTTATATATATATATTGATTTATAATAAACTAATAATTTACAAACTATGAAACAATGTCAATAACTATGGTTTCAGTTTGAGTTTGTAGTTTTAAATGAAAAAAAAGGGAATTGTATAAATTAAATAAATAAATTGATTTTGTTTGAACTATTAACACTATTTAATAATTGAAATTTTATAATAGAACTAGCTAATTAGGCAGTTAGTTATTGTATTATTCTACGGAAATATTGACCGGTATTATTAACGACGCGACGTCAAACCTAGGTACTCACAACGCGAGCCTTTTAATACTAATACTAGGGCTGTTTCGAGAGTAATTATCTCGAAATATGATAATATTAATAATAATATAGATAATAGATTTTATATTAAGCACGTGGTATTAAAGTATAATTGTAATAGCATAAGAAACAAAACTAGGTACATATATAAGAAAAAAAATGGCAGTAAGGAGAGATACCCATATGCTGAATATTAGATATTTCAATTTAAATTAAATCCTAGTTATATATAAAAAAAAAAAAAAAAAACATAAACAAAAACCAAAAACGTTTCTAATCAAAAACAGCTTATCAACCTATACACTAAAATTATGTTAAAACTTTTTAAGTCATATATTTTACTTTAAGTTGGTATTTTTTTTTTTTAATTTTGTTAACAGTCCTAAGGCTGGTTGGCAGCAATTTTCTACTCTTGACGCCTTTCAACTTTCCTTTTCAATTCACAAAAATATCTACAGTCTACACCTCTTAACTATGTGGCTAATGTAGTCTAATGGTGGTCTCCCTCTGCTGTTTTCCCTTCAATGGCACCTTCTAATCTTCTGCTCAGTAGACTATTATAACGCAGTACGTGTCCAATTTAATTGACTCTTCTTGTTCTTAATATTTTCAAAAAACTCCTTATTTCTCCTACTCTTCGATATACTTCTTCATTTGTTATGTGTTCTGTCCAACTTATTCTTAGTAGCCTTCTGTAACACCAAGTCTCGAACGCTAGGAGTCTCTTTTCTTTCGTTTTACCTATGGTCCATGTCTCACTTCCATACAATGCTACACTCCAAACATAAGCCTTTAGTAGGTTATTCCTGACTTTTATATCAATATTTCTAAATATGAACATATTTTTCTTACTCTTAAATGCACATTCAGTTTAGCTTATTCTACTTATGATCTCTCTGGTACTACGGCCGTCCTCAGTTATCTTACTTTTCAAGTATTTATATTAATTTACTTGATGTATTGTGTCGCCTCCTAATGTAATTTGAGTATGGGTTCTTTCGTTACAGCTGCAAACAAGGATTTTGGTCTTTGCCCTGTTTATTTTCATATAGTAGTGATTTTTCATTGTTCATTTTATTTTTTCTAAGATATTCTGTAGATCCTATTCATTGTCTATAATTACCGCTATGTCATCTGAAAATCTTAGCATATCTATTATTTTTCCATTTATTTTTATCCCTACTGCAATTTCTTCTCTTATTTTATTTGTCGCTTCACGTAAATATAGGTTAAAAAGGATGGGAAGAGTGTGCACCCCTGCCTCACCTCTTCTTAATTTTTGTTTCTTTTTGGTAATTTCCACATCGTATTACTCCTATCTCTTACTCGTATAAGCTTTTGATTATCCTTCTATTCTTATATATAACCCCGGCTCTTTCCAAGATATTAAATATCGTTTTCCTTTTTAAATTATCAATGGTTTTTTTCTAGATCAACGAAAGCTATATAAATGGTTTTCATTTATCTATTCTGCTTTTTAATAACTTGTCTTGATGCTAAAATAACGGTTACGTTAAAAGGGGTACGTGTTTGTTGTTTAGCTCCAATAATGCCTTATCAAACTAATCTCTCATTATACTTTGGTCTATATCTTATGTGTCACTCTGACTTTCTTCTACTATCTCTGTGTCTATTGTCGTATTTTCTTTCCAATACAATTATTATTCTAAGTACTTTTTCAAATATTTTGTAACCTTTGCTTCTTCATGTATATTATTGCCATTTACATCTTTAATACTTGCCGTTTTAGTTTTTCTTTCCTTAAAATATCTTCTAACCATCCCATTAGTCCAACTTTTAGCGCATCATTAATATCCTGTCAAATTTCATTTAAAAATACTTTCTTGCTTTTCTTATGTTCTCTATTTATTGCATTTTTTAATTTATTGTATTTTTTCATCCCTCTTTGGTCTGTAGCACGTTTATATCTTCTCCTTTCAGTAATTATTTCCAGAATTTCTTCGTTTATCCATTCTTTTCTGTTGGTTCCTTTAAATTTCTCTAAAATTTCATTCACATTGTTTAATATGTATCGTTTGATATTTCCCCATTTTTCCTCAATGTTTGAACTACTTTATGTGTCAATCGTCTCTATCATAGTTTTATCTGTCTTTGTATTGTATGAATTTTTAATTTCTTCCACTAGCTAGTTTGCCAGTTGTAAGCGTTTCATATCTTGATTCTTTTGTAGCTTCTTAATCTTAACTTCATAATGCTTCAACCAGGTCATTATCGCTATTAATATCGGCTCCTGGGTAACTTTTACTGTCTTTAACTTTATTTTTGTATCTTTCTCTTATTAATGTATAATCTATATGTACTCTTCTAATATAACCAGGAGCTTTCCTTGTATACCGTTTACTTCTGTAATGTTGAAAATGTGTGTATGTTGTTTTTATACTATTCCGTACACAGAACTCTAGTAAAATTTATCCTCTTGGGTTTTTAATTCCAAGTCCATATTTTCTGACAACATTTTTTTCTCTCCCTTCTCCCACAATGGTAATAAAGTCTTCTAGGATTATAAGATTTTCTTCTCCTTTGACATTTTTAATTGAATCATTTAGTTCTTCATATATTTTTTTTTCTACTTCGTTTTCCTCGCTGATGTGGGTATATAAACTTGAATTATCATAGTATCTATAAATTTGATATCTATTTTGTCTAGTATTATTCTATCACTATATTGTACGTACCTTTTTACCTTATCTCCCATGTATTTTTGAAGAACTATTCCTACTCCTTTTGTACACGGCCTTCCGTCTTATGTGTCTGAATAAATTATTCTGTATTCCACCGTTCAAAAATCACCTGATTTAGGCCATCTCATTTCTGAGATTCCGATAGTATCTATTATAAGTCTTTTCATCTCAATTTTTAGGTTCTCCAATTTTCCTATATGTAAAAGTGTTCTAATATTCTACCATCTAGGAAATGTTGGCGTGGACATTTAAGCGTAAGGCTGTTTTGGCATAGGCCGTTTTGGCGTAGAGTCATTTCAAGAAATTGCCAGAAAGCTTATTGTATAATTTTGTATATCTTATTTTATATTTTGCTATTTTATACTTAAAATGAAATATAGGATAGCAATAGAGATAATGTTCTGCAATAGTATATTTCCAATTTCACTTTTATACGTTTATTTAGAGTTGATACAGTATACCTACAAGTAACCGAGAACAATGAGATAAAAATTAATAAATGATATAGGTAAAATATAATTAATGCCAACATTATTATCTAAACGCATTTTATTAAAATAATTTCGTGAAGTAATTTAAAGAAACTATGCCGAAATGGTCACGCTAAAATGTCCGGATCCGAACATTGCATGTGCAATCCTTTTGATATCATGACCTTTCATTTTCAATTTCAAAGGGTTAAATTCTTGAATAGTCCCCACTTGGAGATCCGATTGAGGGACTATTTTTCCTCCGTAATTTTTTACTGTCGAAGCGTTCATACTCTAAATTGCTGATACTCAGAATATCTTTAATGCGATAATTTCTCCTTGTTATTTACACCCGATGCCTTTGACGAAGAAAAATTAATTAACTCGTTCATCCGCCTTTTAGAGCAAATTCTTACCCTAAGAACAAGAGAGTGCCTTTCCCTTCACTAGCGTAAAGGGTTGCTCCTTATATTGGGAATAGTTCGGATTTAATCTCACTGGAATCTCCTACCTAAGGATGTCCGCCAGTGGAGCTCTGGGCTCCACACAGTGGTCTGAAAAGTAATTTAGCTTACATAAAACCCAATTAAGAAAGTATGACAAAATGTTATTTAAATGATATATTTATTTTATATTCTACCTATATGTACCAATTAGTTAATTGATTTGATAAAATTAAAGCCACAAATATTATTGATATCTATAGACAGCTAAAAATATATAAAATTTGAAAAATATTGTTTATCACCGTGAGTATTTATTTCATTTTAATTTAAGCTGTTATTGCAAGCACATTTTAATTTTTCAAATTATTCTTTTTGCATTTTTTTATGCAATGGAATGTACGTATGAAGGTAAGTACCATTAAAACACGTTTTTATACACATCTATTAATTAAGTTAACAAATTCAAATTAATAAAATTGTTTTTTAATGATATAATATATACTTTGTTAATAAATAGTTCAATAACTATAAAATTACAAAAAATAACATCTCTATATTATATTATTTATAATGTAAGTATACAAGCTACGTAATTGGTTTTAATAAATTTGCTCTGCTGATTACAATCCCGTTTGTAGCAAGCTGTAGTAGCGGTGAAAAACTAAAAAAAATTAACCAATGATAATTTGTTAAATTTTTTACGAGGAGAAGGTGTAATAAAGGCTCTGAGTGTTGAATCTCGAAATTTTCTACTGAAAAAAATCCGTGAAAAACACAATGGATACGATTGGAATCAGAATTTAAAAACCTAGTTTTGAATTTAGTACACACTTTTATTATTATTCTACACCAAAAATGGTTCAAATGTAATAAAACATTTAAATTTTTTATTAAAAAAATATTTAATGGCTTAAAAAGGAATTCAATTTACTAACCCTTTCAAATCAAATAAATAATAAAATCGGGGAAAAGAAGTGCATCTTTACTGTTTAAAGAATTAATGTCTATTCCTAACAAAACTGTGGCATTTTTCATGGATAATAATTTAACAAAAAATCAGTACACAAACATTCTAATCGGTTCTAAAGCTCAAAATTCAAACATTTATCCGTCATATGACAAAGTGCTTATCACCAAAAAACAATGTTACCCAAATAATGTCATTTTATCTGAATGTAGCGCCGAAATACCACTTCAAGATTTATTAAACCACATTGTACAACGTATTCTGCAAATTCCTAGTGTTCAAAGTATGAATATTAATATAGCCAAGTGTGAATTATTCTATAAATGGGAGTGTGATGGAAACACAGTACAAAATAAATTTTGATTCATCTAATACACAATCGGTGACGGATAGCAATATGTTTATATTTTCTTTTGTACCATTGCAATTGAGTTGCACGATTGATGACAAAAAATGTATTATTTGGAAAAATCCAAGGCCATTTTCTACAAGATTCTACAGACCTATTAAATTTTTATTTAAAAAAAAAATTGCCGAAAATACTCGAGAAGAAGTGAATAATGTTAAAATACAAATAGATATCTTGAATACAACAGATTTAATTTATAATGATGGTAATTTTCAAGGTGGGCACTAATTAATTTTTTCAATGGTCGATAAAAGGTTAGTATATTTTTAAATAATATTCTCTTTTAGAAATAATAAAAATATATTCCTACATAATGTATGCATCTAATTCGATGACTTTTACATCGAGTCAAACTTTTTATATCTGCGATTGTACTCAAAAACAGCGCAATGATATTGATAAAGTACCTATTAAACCGAAACATTTTAAATTTGGTTTATCGATATTACACGCATTTCAAAACTTAGCAGGTAATGATTATTATAAGTAGATATTATACTCATGTATACCTTGAATGAACTAAATTTTAAAAGAGACATAAATTGATATATTATAGGTGAAAACAACTGAAAACAAATTAAAGTTTAAAAAAAAAAAAAATGAAATACAAGAAAATTTTTGTTCCGAAATGGGATTATTAGTAGATATAGTATTACAAGGTATATTTTAATTTAAAAATTAAAATGTTTGTTACTATTTTTAATTTTAATTGTTGCGTCCCTTATGTTAACGTCGATTCATATATCAACGTAGAAAACGAAATACTAGTGTTTTCAAGTTAAATGATTAACGTCTTTATTTTAATACAATTAACTCGTACAATAATACAATTTTATAAGCATAAGATGGATGAGCGGTGTTATGACCAAACCCTAAAATACTAATAGACGAGACCGTGGGTGGTGTTACGCCTGCTACTGAGCGTCTCGAATATCCCTAACCGTTTTTCTGCCCAGCTCTTGTCGCGGTCTCTCTTGTAAGTGGTTAACTGACAAAAGTGGTGACTGGGGAGGTGGCGACTTCCGATGACCTAAAGAAGCTCTCTAAATTATACTTGTTATTCAGTTCGGCTCCTTTCCTGTGATTTCATCTATTCTGAGAAGTCCGGGACGTGTGATCAAGTCTTGATTGTTTTATTAAATAACACGATGTCCAGGTGTTCACCCTAACCGTCCGATACTACATTGTTTGAATACATTAACTTAATTGGTATACGCGTCACCTCTCCGTATAATATGTGTTGAAATAATATTATGTAATACGGTACGTAACATAATTATAATATTGTTAAAATAGGTTACGGTACAACAAATCATGGAAACACAGCCAAGAAGTTCTTTAAAAACGTAGAAAAATCGACTAATATTATTGGTATAAACATCGATTTAATCAAACGATTTGGTACGATTTTAATTGTCATGGCAAATGGGTATGAAATAAATACAGATGCTTTTGAAACGTATTGTAATCAAACAGCTACCACTGGTGCTATTTGCTTGCATCTGTACATACAAATATTTTGCTTCATATTAAAGTTGATGTTATCCAGAATGCAACTTTACCGGCTGCGTACTAGTGATTCCCGGGTATCTATTATGCACCGACACCGTTGAGTTGATTCCCGGGTCATTAGAGGGTACATACGAATTGATTCCCTATTGTTGTATATCAATTATCAATAGGTTGCTCGAGTAAAGAGTTTACGACTGTATAAAAAGTTCGACCGTCACACACAACTCGCTCTTATGTCCACTGAGACCACGCGCATATTTACAAAAAAAAACCTCATTACCAGATACCAATTTATAAAAACAATGTGTTACAAATTTTTACCAAATTACTAAAGTTTTTTTATATTTTTTTACCTAGTTAATACTAAATGTTTTTAATAATAATGTTTTACCTAGTTACTACTAAATGTTTTTAATAATAATAAATATAATATAATTCAATAAATAATTATTAAATAAAAATTGAATGATTTTCAAAATATGAAAAAACTAAAAAAAACATTTTTGAGAAATTTGTTATCCAACTACCTCGTGGTGTTTCTTGGGTTATGCTAGTAGGTTGAATATTTTACTAAATATTGAATAAAATATATAATGACCCAGGAATCAACTCATACGTACCTCTTAATGATCCGGGAATCAACTAATACATGAGAAAGGTCTCGGGAAACAACTCACCTATTGCGACTTTACCAGTGGGTATTTTAATTATTATATATAATATGAACAATATATATTTATGAAAAAATTCATTTTTTTTTTTTTTTTTTTTCAGCCAACTGTCTGAAGAAGCTCAAGAATGCCAAAACAAAAATTACAAAAACTACAGGGAACATCACACCAGAAAATTAACCAGAGTGAAAATTAATTAAGATCTCATTAACATAGTGCTAGTTTCATCCAACCCATTAATATCGTCCATACGAAACATCCAACAGAAAAAATTTCAGATATATTCAGAAGATGTAAAACTTTTAATAATAATGACTGAAGACCAAACAAGTGATTCTAGTAAATCTGAATCCGATAATGATTCGGAATAATATAACTTTTATAATATAAATCATTTAAAATTAATATTTTTTGTTAAAATTTTATTACTAAATATTATAATATTTCATAAACCTATTTAAATTATATTCTAAATAATAAAAGTAGAATAACGAAGCTTGGTAAATTTGTATAATAAATAATGTTACAATTTAATAAGTTTTTTAATATTTCTATAAATACGTATAAATAAATCGATGTCCTTAAATGTATAGTTATATATCTCATAACTAGTTAAACATGGTAATTTTAATAAATTGATACACAAAAATAAAAATATATGTTAATTTTTTGGAATAAAAACTACAATTTAATATTATGTAAGCTAAATTTACTTTTCAGACCACTGTACCCCGGGTGCGCTAAATCCGTAGTATACAACACATTAATATTGTCATATACTTCCCCTGATGGGGAACTTTTGTAGTTTGTTAAAATTGTATTAGACAATTTGCAATTATTATGTAATTAGTATTTACTTATCAAAGTAATACATATTTATATCAAGTTATATCAACTTTTATAAAAAGCTGAAAAGTGTTATGGTAAATAGACAGTAATATTATAAACTTTTTGTAATAATTTCATCTGTCTATAGTTATTTGTAATTCAATTACATTTAAATAACAATTTTTTTTTCTCAATTGAATTTATGTAGTTATTCACGTAGGTTATTATTTCCCAGGTCATAAAAAAAAGACTGGGATTTTTTTTTAATGTTAACCTCTCTATAAGTAAATAATTAAAATTGGCTTCAATTCTCTATCCGTAACCTACCTCGATATTTAAGCTATAAGCATTTTAACTACTAAGTACTCACCGAGATTTAAAATGTATCTAATGATAATTATAGGTAATACTATCTTGACATATAGTAATTATTTAAGTTATTCACCAATGCCAGACTTACCTTAATTGGTTTGTTTACGGCGATGACTCGTGTCTTGGTAAAAAAGAGTTTATATAGCCAGTAATTAAATAAACAAAGCGTATTATATAAAATGAAATTCATACAAATAATAATATTTTTTAATACACAATAAACGCATCGTTATAAAATATAACATACTGAGTAACACGTCTTATGTACTACAAATAAATAATAAAGAAGCAAGAACGGTACAGTACAGATTTTTATTACCTAACTTTTTCGAGTCGTTCTTTCCTGAGGAACCGAACCGGAGTTGATGAAACGGAAGAACAACAACGGCAAAATAAATTGAATCCGAATTGTTTAAAACATTATATACTGGACCTTCTAAACTAAATATGTTTTCATATTCAACAGATATTCAAAACTCAAGAGGATAGTAAACTAGCCACAGCAATGTCTAATAATAATAAAACTAACATCATCACATGAAAGAAAACATGCATATTTTTCTTTTTTCTTTTCATTAAATACACTCCAATAAAAAAAAAGCGCACTCCATAAAAAAAAGCACATGTCAATGATAGAATGCGCGTAGTGTCAGGTAATGACCGATTAATCTCGAGGCGTCAACTTGTACGAACATAAGTATTTGAAGGAACTTGCTGGTAAATGTATTATCCTACATCTAATTAAAACCAGCGCTAGTGCAAATTTAAAAATAGATTAATAACACAAGGTACTAAAACAACTATGTTAAAAATGACTACAAAATATTATGCTCCAAAACGAAAAAAATAATAGTACATACACAATCATTGTAAATCAATTTAATCATTTAATATATTTGGTATTTAATTTATTTAAAATCTAAAAGATGTTCATAATTAATAAATTTTATGTCAGAAATAATTTTTCTTCTGAGAAACATAGTTAATAGAATTTTTTTTTTAGGATAGATTATTAAATTTTAAAGCAACTGAGTTGGCATTAGAAACAATTGGATCGTGCATTAATCTAACTGACGACTCATTGAATTTAGAAAATTGTTATGATTTTCAGGAATATGTAAATAATAATAAAGATATAACAGGTAATACAGATTATCATTTAAATTATGTTATAATTGTTTATAATATGTTTAAAACAATATATGATTTTTTAAGATTAATTTTTTAATATTAATTTAACAATATTAGATGGTTTGCCCCATTTAAGGCCCATTTAAAAAAATTAGTAATGGAATATTATCAGATTATTTAAGTTATTTATTATTGAATGCTATTTAATTACAATGATATACAGTACTGTACTATATTATACTATAAATGAAGCATAACCAAACCAATACCATTTTTATAATTCACCCTGTCAATGCAATTACTTTATGTTTGACCTATGTATTCTTTAGACTTGCAGTCAACAATTATTCCCAAATTGCAAATTTTATATAGTATACGGAATAGAAATTTAATACAAGAGCTTTATATAGTAAGATTATAAAAATTTACATTATATTTTTAATGTAGAAACATTGATTAATGAAGTATATTAAATAATATCATAGGTGTAATGATATATTGCCTAATATTTATATTTTTTAGGAACTAACGAAAGATGATCATATTATCGAACAGGACATATTACATTTTATTGTTTCTGCGGTTATAGATATCGACAAAAAATCAGAAAATTATGAAAAAAATATTGAAAATGTCAAACATGGTATTTATTGCAATATCATACTATCTTTAACTTTCATACTATCAGTTAAAATTATTTGTATTAATTTAAACAAAAGTAAGTAATTATGTAGTAGGTGTGATTAAAGGTATAAAAATTTTTTTTTAAATCCATTTTTTCTTCGTAAATTTAGTGACTAAACTATATTTTTGACAAAGTTATTAAGTTTTTCAACTTTTTAATTTTATAATAATTAAAAAAAATAAATGCTTTTTATTTTAATTAAAAATATACGTAATATATAATAAATAATAATATAAATTTTTAACATAAATAATTGTAAATATACAATTTATAGTTCCCTGGCATCAACTGTTGTATTTTATTTTATTTATTATTTTTATATTTTATTAATTTTTTTTTATTTTCTATCGGCCGATATCCAACAGTTGTTATAAATATTTGTGGTGAGCCACCCTTTACACTTAGGGGTATGAAAAATAGTTTACATCACTCTCTGAGACCTACTTAATATACACAAAAGATTTCATGAAAATCGGTCCAGCTGTTTCAGAGGAGTTTGGTAACAAACTTTGTGACACCAGATTTTTATATATTAGATATATATAATAAATACACAAGTCTGATTAATTTAATTATACTTAAATACTTTTATATACCATAATCTATAGACATAAAAGATTAAACTTGCTGTCGGTCAAACCTCTAAATCTAAAAAAAAAACGATTATTCTAACAAAGGTATAAATATATGATGTAGGCAATCATTAATAGGTCATAATGGTGGGTAATACTTAACTTACGAACTTTAAAAAGACTACTCTAATTGTCGATGTATTTTTTAGATCCAACTCCTATCCACAGTGATTTTAGTAATATTATTTATGTATTTAATAGACAAATAGTTTCACTATTTTTTATGTTTTAACAAAGAGTTTTTAAATTCTGTATCATTATTATTAATAGTTAAAACGTGCGTAATAAGATGTTGCCATGATGATTTTTCTGATAGTCATGACTGTTGTAACTATCCATGACATTCGACCGGAAAGTTTTTAGTACAATATCCAAAGTTTTCGATAAGCACACATATGTTATTTATATGTATTCTATATGTTGCCTTACTTCTAACCAGATTCAATCACGTTCTTAGATATCTCATTGTCCCACTTACCATATCTTACAAATATGCAACAATGAATATAATATGTAATTTAAATTTAAAATATGGATATACTTTAATTCATAATTTGCTTAAGTGGTTTTTTATTTAAAAGTAATTTAATTTAATTTTAAAAATATACGATTCAACGTATCGTAAATATACAATCCTTGATTTTTTCCGTTACCTAATACCTATAATGATTTCGTATTGTTATAAAATTCAATTTAAAATACGTCTTTTTTTTATTTTTAAGCAATTCAATTACTTAAAGCTTACGTCAAAGGTCACCATAAAAATCTGAGTAAAGAAAATAATGATCAACAAAAATATCTTATAATGAAAAAGAAAAGTACGAGAGAAATTGAAGAGGATACAACTAAAGAAAAAAAACCCATAATCATTAATTTTGCTGAAGTATCAAGTGCAAAATATACTGAGAAAAATAAAATAAACAATCTTTTTATTGCTTATAAATGGTTAATGGAAATGAATGAAGTACTTATTAACAATTCATTTTCTATTTCTTTAAGTAATGATTTTTCTGAAGCAAAGAAGAATATATATCAATTGGCAAGGGATGAAAAAAGAATACTCGACACTGAAAATATTATGTCAGATGAACATTTTATGTATCTAAAAGTTAAACGAGAGAGCAAAGTAATTATAAGTCTTGAGAAGTTCAATTTATTTTTGCAAAACACTTAAATATTGAGATATTTTTTTTTTTGTTTAAAATGCTTTATAATTATATGTGACCTTGCATCCTAATATGAATATGAATTTAAAGTAATATCTATATAAAACATTTAAAAAAAAAAATGAAGTTGTAAAAATTATTTTACACTAAATTTTTTCATGAGTTTGATTCATAAATTTCCGTGACATTCAATAAAGATTTAATAAATTAAAACATTATATTTATATACAGTGTATTTCCGATTATCCGCAGTCGTTTACGGAACGAAACATATAGGTACATAGTTTAGTACAATAATATTAACTGTACAACCCGTGTTATCAGATTATCGGTTATCGCAACTCAATTAGACTGATTCACAGAGCTGTAATGATGAATATAATAATATGTATTATGTAGAGAAATATTATTATTTTTTGTGTGTATTTTAATTTTATTTGATCATTACTTAGGCTTTACACACGCGCCGGTACCGCTGTGTTTTCGTAATCTCGATTTGTTTTACTCAGAATAGACAATACGAACCTTTGTCACAAAATATTATTGAAAAAATTTCAATTGTAAGTTAAAAATAAGTGTTTTCAAACAAAAAACATCAATTTGTTACCGATTTTTGTTCTCAACAAATTAATATGTAGTATAAATAATAAATATTATACGTCTTATTATATACAATTTGAAACTAATGAGTGGATTAAATTTCAAAAATAGTATATTTAACAATTAAATAATCAACAATTTAATACTGATAACAATTACATACAACAATAAAACACAACATTACTATACAATTAACTAACTTTTTTATAACTACAATCAAAAAAATCAACACGCCTTAACTAGAAGATACTTTTATCAAAATAATTATTCCATCATTTATATTAAAAAAAAAATATATTAACTTTTAATTTGTGTCTCGTAATTTTTCTATTTTTTTTTTTTTTTTTTTTTTTAATAAGTAAACACTGTTTTAAAGTCTCATCAAGATCAACGATTACTATCGACTCAATAAAAACAATATTACCTATCATAACATAAACACACTTGATTTAGTTATTCTACTTTAAATATAATCGTTATTTTCATCAAAATGTGGGAAGGATTCGAGTGGTCAACTGAATCACAGTTAATATTTGCTGTGAAAATTAGCATTTTGGAGTTTTTATCTCCTTTCAGACCTTGAGCAGCTTTGTACTTGGAATATTGAAATTACTTGAAAAATTAACGTCACATATATTCAAAATTCGCAATTTTTCAATTCATAATTTATATTTCATATCATTTTAGTAGAAACTTGAGTAAATCATATTTTATTATGCACGTATCTGCACGCTCGCTACGCTGATAAAATGAGATTATATTTATAAAGCAAAAATAAATCGGTACCGCTAAAAATTATTAGGTATATTGTTTTTATACATAGTATACAAATGTCTATTGAGTATATTGGTTGCGACGTGCATTCACTGAACTAATGAAATTAATAAGTAATAACTAAATAAATACAGGGATGGGCAAGATACTCAAAAATCAATATCACGATACTAGATACTTAGATCTGGAGTGTCAAGGTACTAGATACTCGATACTTTATATAATTTTATCGAGATACAAAATAAAATTGTATCTAAGATACGTATCTTAGATACTGCCCAACTCAGTATATAAATAACATGGTGTAAATCCGTAGTCGGATATATAGTAGTTTATATAATTAGGTATACTTATATCCTTTTCCGGTTCACCACCATAGTATTCCTAATTTTAATACAATTGCACCATACTCAACAGTCAACAATGCATCAATACATAACCTATCACGGCATGTGTTAACGGAAAAGTGTAATACTTCTGATAATATTATTTATATTTATTAATTTTAAACAAGCAATATAATTAGCTAAAAACATTTTATTTTCAGATTCTATTACCTCCTGATGATTGGAAACATAATGACCTTTCTAATTGGTATCAACAAATAACGATGCAATTTAATTCCAGTCCCATACAAAATGATTCGTATAGATTTATGGCTGAAAAATTTATGTATCTGAAAAATAATTCGAAATGTCCATACATTAATAAGATTGAAATGTCTACAACAATATTTAAATGCTATTGGAAGTTAAAACTTGACTATATTTCGATGTACACCTATATAAAGAGAGCTATTACCGAAATAGTCATTACTCCTGAAGTAAATCTATTTTAAAACTAATATATATTTTATAATTACAAACAAGTAACAGAATTGTGCTCTAAGAATTCATAGATGTTTTATAATGTCATTGTTCTCCATTTTTAAAATTTGTGATTATATTTTATCACATTGCGTATTTGGAACCCCATATTATGGTCTAAACCTCTAAGATGTTTGATCTAATTTTTATTTCATTGTTTGTAGCTACTGCATTAGCGAAAATTAAAATGTCCTTTCTAGGTGGAATATGTAATTGTACCTGTGGAATTTATCTTTAAAAGATTGTTCTTCGTAATTATTAATGTGGTTACTTAGTATCAGTTTCTTTATTTGCACAATACGTCAATTACGATTATTATTGTCTACGTTTATTAAGTAAATATCACATTCACTGTCGTATAGTAATTTAATTTAAATTACTTTTGTTTTTTTTTTTTCGACTATATACCTAAATATGTTTAACGTTGTTACTAGTTTTTCCTTTGTTAACGGCTGTTAGGGTTTCTGAATAGATTTTTTACTAGGCTACAAATGTCTATCATTAACTTTGTCAAGTTTAATATCTCTGTTACAAATTCTGCACTGGGATCTGTCGATGGATTAACTAGTTTTAAAGAACATTAACCTTTCTTTCCGTTGTCCATAAAAATATTTAATTATCATTTATATACCTTTAAATTAAAAAAAAAATAATATTATTTCAATATACCCCTTTAACAATTTACAATAATAATATCAAAAAAAAACCCTTCAACATCATCAGTTATATTTAATTATCTTTGGTATTTAATTTATTAATTTTAACTGTATAGCATACTATTATTTAATACGTTAAATTAATTATTCACTTAAAATTAGACAAAGTTAATTCAGTTGTTATTGCAGATAGATAGTAAACTACACAAGCTATAGCTTACTTACTTCCATTATTTCAATCTTTTGTTTGAAATTAATGTTAAGTCAATGATTTTTTTAAATTGGTTATTTATTACAGGAGTATGTACTTAATAGCGTATGGCGTGAAGTTGTTTCGGTTCAATGGCTCTGATACATTTGACTGTGCTGTTCTAGGAGATTTCCTTATATGTAATGGCTCTCATTTTATTTTCTTAGATCTGAGTCCATAACTTGACCACGGCCTCGGTAATGCGTCCTTCGAAAATTGTTTTCATGAATGCTTTTATCGAGCCCTTGTTAAACTAATTTAGGAATGATTGATACAAATGGCAAAACATTATAACATTACAATTAAGTACTTGCATCATCACGATTTATACCAACACTATATAATATTTATAATTAATAGTAACTGAACAGCCTATTACACTTAAAAATAATTTTTATTGTTTATAAAAAATTTCAAAAACGATTTTACACATATTTCTTTTTTTATGCATTTAATCAGTGATTTCTTTAACAATACTCATTATTTAAATTTCCTTTTAATTTTTAAAAAACATTTTTGTTACTTAATTTCCAGTCAAAGTTAAACAACATTTTTAAAAGAAAACTTAAATTTTTTTATTGTTATAGTTTTTTAGTAACAATATACATTTTAAATTTCATATTTTTAAGCGAAATTCTTTTCCGATTATTCTGATAAGTACGTAAAATTCGATATTCGGACCAGTGGTTTTTGGGTTCGTTATGCGTCGAAACCGTAATATCATTGCGAGTAATGTTGATTTGTAATTTTGCTTGTTTAAACTTCACATTGATTATAAATGGCATCCCATTTAATTCTTATAAAATATTTATTAAATTAAATAATGACTTATTTTTCATTAAGGTGCATTTGTAAAAAGAATTTTCTTGATATTTAAGTTCATTATGGGTTTTCTATTTATATTTTTATATTTTACTCATTGAATTTGAATTAAAGATCTACTTAATCAATATTGATATTATTAAGTCTAACAGCACATATTTTTAACTTACATTAACGTGTTTAAAAGACTACGTTTTCTTTATTCCCTCCAAATATTTTTTTTTTGCCACTAAGTAAAAACATTTAATATAATTGAAAAATAATATGACAATGTTATACAATAGATGTGTAATATATACTTTTCAAGTCATATATTTGCGGGAGTTGACTGGGTATCGATAGATCCGGAGGGTTAATCAACTAGACTTATTACTAACACATTTTAATTAATAAATACTTTAAATTAATAGCGCTCAATTAATTGTCATTCATTTTAAAATAAGTGGTGTTTTACTATTATATTTTAATACTACATTTTATACTTAAATATGTATAATTTTTATTAATTGACACTATCAAGGTTCCGGTAAGTGATTGCCCCTCTGCTTTCTTGGCCAGTCCGCTCCTGTATATTTGATCATACAAAACAAAGCTTAAAGTAATTTTTGTAATCTTCCCTTTTTTGATTATTACTCTACTTATTAGTATTTTTATACACACAGCAATATTGATTAATTTTAGGACCGTTTAAGAAATTTAGAAGCGCACGAACTATTTACTGAGTTATTGATGGAGCGTAATGAAATTGGAATTAAAATGGTAAATCATGCATATTGCTTATTTAATGATTTTTTAATGCTACACATCGTTAAAATATATTTATAAAAAAACTTCCTCTTTGTCAGCGAATCTTCCTAATTAAACTAATAATTTATTTTTTTTTTTTGAAATAACAGTCATAATAATAATTTCGACATTCTTTTTTAATTCTAAAATTGAAGAGTTTAAATTAAAAATATATTCAACACGATAACGACATACTCGTACAATAAAATATGGTTTATGCATCACTAAATTTTAATTTTAAGAACATATTTATTTTTATTTTTTAGGCGAATGAACTTAAAGTCAATCAAGTATATAATACGTTTTTGTTAGATCCTGATCTTCGTGACAAGGTAAAATAAAAACAACAATATATTTTAATAACTCAGGGTAGATCATAGTTTATAATACATACCTAAAGTTCTGAAATATTAAAAAAAATACTACAAATAATTAACATAGAATTAATAATTAGTGAGAAATATGTATATAATTGTTAAAAAGGTATGATAGATTACAAGTTGCAGTCATTATGCAAAAAAATAAACAGTATTAATCATTATTGGTTGCCAAACACAAACTCAGCTTACAATACTAAGGATGATTTATAATTTTCTTATATTAAGTTAGTATGCAAATGTAACAAATGTAGTATGTATATGTATACATTATGGCAGCGGTTCCCAATTTGTGCTCCGCTTTGTTAGCAAAAGGGTGCTGCCTTAAATTTTGTCTAGTCTAAAAATAAATTTGAAAACTAAATATCTAGTAAGTATCTAGTTTAATTCCATGATTCGTAAAATTTCACAATAACATGTAAGCTCACTCATCTCATCAATATTATATTTTAACACCAGCAAAATAATTAAAACGTTCTATTTATAAAAAAAATGCAATATTAATAAATTAAAATATAATCCTATTGTAACGTGGCTGGGGAACCTAGTTACTATATTAGTTATCCAGGGAAGGTTTTCTGGTCCTTATGGATAAATTTTCCGTAGCTAGGGGGTTAGAACACGGTATGTGGGATCTTATCAATAAATAAAACACGTTTGGTTTATAAATTTCTGTTCAAAATATATTTTTGGTTTGTACTTAACAAAATGTAGATGGTGGTAAACAATCCCGGTGTTGGTGAGTTCATGTTTTTTGGTGAGTTCGTGTTTATTGCTGGTCAGTCTCGAACTGCCCTTTTGATAAACGGTGCGTATTGGCCACAGGCCTCACAATCATTAACAATGTTTATCTCAGCATAAATATCCCACTATTGCCTACTACGGAATTGACACATACATAGGTGTCATGTAACAATAATATATTATATTATTACACTATATTTATATTTTCTGGTTTGTATTTATTTATTGTCATAGGACGCGCTTTGAGTTTAAAAAGGGCGCCATGAGTAGGGCTGGAATAAGAGGGAGGTGTAGCACCCCTACTTCAATTTTTTAGGAATTTCAATCAGAAAATTTGATATTTTGGATCCAGTCAACAAATTTAAAATTTTGGATCAAGTCGACAATTATTTCATAAACAATTTTGTCATGGGATAAAATAGATATAATTCAAATAATTTGATAATATAGTTTTTTTAACGATAAACTTGATCGATTTAAAGTTATCTTGTTAATAAAACTTAATATTATTCGTTGTGTAGTTTGAATTTTGTTTATTATCAAAAAACCTTAGATGTATACGATTAAATAAATATAAAGTAGTGATAACCGGCATTGATAATACATTACAATAGACGTATTTTTGCGATTAATCAAAAGTAGCTTGGTTACTGGATTTTAATTTTGATAATCGATTTACTACATTATGGCGATACAGCATCATCACTACCATAATATATTATGTAACATATTATTATTATTTTTACTGTATTTATCATATGTTTTATAACTTGTACCATTTTTATCGTTAGTATTGAATTGTGTCAATTATGTTTCCGGCCGTGTTCTATGTTATATACATTATACACGTTCCCCTCCTCTTGCATAAGACTCGCCACACGCGGCAGACAACTCTAGCACTTTCATTTTTATGCAACAACAAATAGCTCTCACCTCTAAAACCGAAACGGTCCGTAAGCCCCGTAATGAGACCGACCGCGTATTTTCGTTCTGCTCATAACGCCTATCAAACGTTCACACCCCGTAACTTTTTTTCTTTGTACATTATATTTGCCTTGATGCATTGATTGTTATTTTATTTAATACATATATATTAATACGACGTGCTGCAATTGTGATTTCTAATTTACAACCTGCGACCTTATACTCCCCCACGAGTTAAAACGTTTTGGTCATTTTTGTCAAACGACGAAGTGTACCACAACATCAGTTGTGTTATCAGAAAGTATAGATAATATTTTTTTTTATTATCTATGCCAAAAATTCAGTTTTTTTTTAAATTGTATTTTTATAACTGTTGTGTTTATTAAAGAAAAAGAACACAAGTTGAGTGTTTTACTTGTGGTAGTGTATTTGATGATGATTATAAGATAAAACATGAAATTAAAGAACATGCCGGTAAAAAAGTTTCGGTCAAGCATTTTGGAGCACCCGAAAATCCATATACAGTTGCAGTTCACTCTAGCTAAACAAAAGAATGACCGAGCACAAATAGTCAGTGGAAAAATAAAATTTAAGTAAAATTAATTAATTGTTTTTTCTTTATCAAAGTAAAATATACACATCTACACTTAGATTCAAATTTTAATAGGTATCAATATGGAATTTTAATTTCTTTAATATTATGGTTTATTAGTAGGTATTTAATTAGTTGTTTTTACTTTTATTATTTTTATAATATTTTAATTGTTTAAATTTAAAAAAATTTTGGTCGTCTCATTAATATTATACATTTAGGATAAATCCGAATTGCATGAAATTGAAGAGTGCACCAGTGTATATAAATCTTCTTCATTGACTTCAAATTTTATAGAAATGAATAGTGCTAGTGGAGATAAACAAAATTAGAAAACATTGTTGGTATATATTTACTATATTATATCAAGCTAACATGAATATTTATCTCTGTGTAAATATTATTGTACTTTTTTAATAAATATTATTAGTATAAATAATTGTGTGGCTTCATAGATTTATTTCTTGATTGTAGGATAAATCTACTTTACATGAAATTGAGTATAACAACAAATATACATCAAAAATAACATCATAGAAGTAGTAGTTGATTCTGGTATGTATTCAGTAGGTACTGACAGATACTGTACTGGATGTTTCACACAAAATTCAATTGGCAATTAAATGGTATGTGGATTCTTTTGGAAAAATAACTGAAAGATTATTAAAAGTTTTCGAAGCTACTGATAAAACTGGATTTGGTGTTGCAATAAAAATGCATAATGTTTTAGAAAATAATGTATTGCCGATTAAAAATATTGCATTTTAATCTTATAATCACGCTAGTAGCATGTCTGTTAAAATTGGCACACAACAAAAACTATCTGAAATTGTTGGCCACAAAATTCAATTTATTCTATGCTAAGCACATCGACTATTCTTTCTATACTTTCTCGAACATAGTTGTTTTCTAAGTGTTATTATTAGTCTGAAACAACTATAGGTTTTTTCTCTGGGAGTACAAAAAGGCATACACACTTTCAGAAAAAAATTGGCATTAGTTAAAGACGCTTTACAACTTAAAAATCTTTCAAAAACTCAATGGACTGCAAGAACTGAATCGATTAAAGCTGTATGGATATCATACAAATCAATAATTGATACACTGCAAAATATGACAAATTAAAAACCTATAGACAAAAATAAAAAACATGTAGTATTGTATTGGGTCTTTCTAAAAAAATTGTTAATTTCGACTTTTTAATTTGTTTATCTTTTATGGAAAACATCATGAACACAACAAAAATCTTAACCGAATTACTAGAAGCTACAGAATTAAATATAATTGATACATTGACATTAGTTATACATGCAATTGATAGTTTAGTAGATATGAGGAATGATAATAAACCAATTGATGATTTAATAGAAAGTGTGATTATATTTGCTAAAAAAAATTTAATATTGATCCAGACACAGACTTTAATAGACACCATCGAAGAAGATTGAAACCTAAAATATTGACGAAAATTTTGATACAAAATGTACATTCAATTTAAAAACATTTTATAAAATGGAATTTAAAGAAGCATTTAATACTCTAATAACTTTGCTTACGGAACATCTAAAGAATAATATTTTCATTAACATTTAATCGATATTTCAAAAGTTCTACGGGAGAAGAATAGTTGTTCTACAGATAATTTGGAAAACACTATGAAAATAATCCCTACTGAATGCGATAAATTTAAAATAAATGATTTTGATTAAGTTTTAACTGAATTGGATTTTTTAAACCCCAAATGTACAAGTAAAAATATTTTTAAATTAATCGACATGCTTAAGGTGTCAGAAGAATCAAAATATATTTTGTCAACGGGTAATAAAATATGCAGATTAATTTTTACTGCTCTTATAAGCACAGTATCAAATGATAGGGCTTGTAGCAAATTGAAAATGGTAAACAATTGTTTACGCTCTACTATGAGAGAAGATTGTTTACAAAATTATAGTCGGCGACCCGAAAAGTGGCGCCTGTGTGCCGCGATCCGTTGCTGCTTCCCTACCCGTTAACCATTGATTCTCAACCTATACCACTAATCCGTGTCTGCACCACTCGTAATACAATTTTAAATTTTCAATGTTTTCTATTTGATTTGAATAAACAAATGATTGGTTTATAAATTATTCAAAGTTTTTTCAGTAAATTAATTTTTAATTCAAAAAAACGTAGCAATTAGTTTAATTACGTTATGAACCACTGAGGCGAAACGGCCGTTAGATTCGTGACGGGCAGGGGCCACTTTTCGTGTCGCCGACTTTAAATGTTAATTTGCAATAAGGATTTCACTGACTCAATAAACATTGATCAGATAATGAGAAAATTGGGTCTTATTAAAGAAGGACGAATTATAGTATAAAAAGCATGGTTGTATTTTTATGTACAAATATTCTAAAATTAATGTATTTGATTTATTGTAATATACTTATTTTAATTATGATATTCGTTCTATACTTCTATATAGCTTTAATTCCTAATTTTAAGCCGTTCCTATACAAGGCGCCTTAACATATTAATAACAAATTTTTAGAAATTGTTGTGATAAATAAATTTATTAATTTGGTCTTGCTGTTATAGAGGCACAAAACAAAAAAAAAAAACTGGATAATATAAGACCAGTTATAAATAGTCGACAAAATTAGAAAAAAGACCCTTTTTTATTGCTTATTTAGACGTTTTGAAACAGTATTAAAAG